CCTGCGAGAGAGGAAAGGAATATTCCTGTCTGTGGGTTGGTCAACTGGGTGTATTCATCTTAGAGGACCCCCTGGAGGACTTAAAGAAGGTTAGCTGCTCCTTGACTGTTTTCAAATCCGACTTTTAAAATCCCTGGTTGAATTCCCAGCAATCTACTTTTCCTGACGGTAACCATTAAAGCATGTTTAAGTGAACATGAAATTCCATCAGGATAAAGCTCCGTGAAGCCCAGTCCACTGGCCCCATCGCCAAAGCCGCTAATAAGGCCCTATTGTGTTACTGTGGTAGTCTGGGTTATCATTATGAAGTCTTTGCTTCTGGTTGAGAAAACATGACATTCCATTAAATGTATAATCTGGGTTTTTTTTTCCAGGCCAGAGATGCATCCTGCTTAAAGCCGAAATGAGCTGAGATTTAATGTCATGGAGAAGAAGAGAACCATTCGCTGGGGGAAAAAAGGGGGGGAAGGGGAGTCAAGGGGTGGAGAGAAGAATGGTGAATTTCGTGCCTCGGGACCCACTGGTTTCAGCCTGTAGATGGTGTCTTGCCGGCCAGAGGATCTTAGAAGCCCAAGGAAAAAATGTGTCAGCATTCTTTCCCTTTGCACTCTGCAGTGGTTGGGTGCTGTTTGGGAGGTTCTTTCTAGGACAGAAGACGGTGTCTTTAGGGACCACCCAAGGGGCTGTTTGCTATCACTGCTTTTGACCCATCCCCGAGCTCTGGGCTCAACAATCCCATAAATGAGCCCGGACGGAGGTGGCCTGCTGGAGGTGTGCACGCTTATTATACCACGTTCTAGCAAGTTTCTCATTCAGTACAAAACTATTCCTCTCTTCGAGCAATAGGACAACTAAAGGAAGTCACAGGAGTAAAGGTAGGTACTTGGAAAGGTCTCCCCACCATTTTTTTTTCCTGGAGCCTTTTTTGGGTTCCCAGTGTGCTGCAGAGAATCCTACGGTGCATTTACAAACGTACTCTAGGATTAAATATAAAAGCAGCAGCCTCCATAGATGCGGGGTGGGGGGCCTGGAGCTCAGCACGCTGGTGAGAGACCCCCCCTTACACTTGAAATGAGTTTTTAAAAACTCAAGAGTAACTTATTTTTGCGGACTAGAAGATGTAGAAAAGTTGGAAAATTTAGAAAGTGGAAAAACAATGTAAGAATCCCACCTTTTAGGCAGAAATACTAGTACCCATAGGGTGAATCAATTCACATACATGTGTGTGCTTAGCAATTTTACAAAAGTAGCATCATAGTGAATACTGTTTTGTAATTGCATTTTCACCTAAAAGTATAGTATGAGCATTAGGTGTTTATTCTAAATTATCTTACAAGCATGCATAACATACATACTCAAAATTATGCCTACATCATGCCTTACTTACTAAATTCCCTGTTGTTGAGCATTTAGGTAATTTTCAGCTTTATTATTATTAATCGCACTGCCATGAACACACAGATGGGCGCTACTTTCTGACTGCCTTGGATTTTTCCTTTGATAAATGTTACGAAATTACTGAAATTATTGTCCTGTCCGTGCTATTCAATACAGTAGGTACAGTGGCTATTTAAATGTAAATGATTGAAGCTTCAATAAAATAGAAAGTTCATTTCCTCACTCCCACTAAACACATTTTAATTGTCAAGAGCCACATATGGCTGGTAGCTGCCATCTTGGACAGCACAGACATGGACCATTTCCATCATTACAGGAAGTTCTACTGGACCACACAAGTCTAGAAAGACCATGGGAACATGTACATTCCTATATGACAATACCTCTGTCTCCCGTATGTTGGCCGATACTGAATGTCATACTTCCTTAAAAATCTTTGTCAACTTAATAAAAATTATGTCTCATTTGATTTTTCCACTTCTTTGATTATTAGTGAAGTTGAACTTTTTTGTTTGCTTATTGACTTTCATATGTTTTTTGTGAATTATTTATATAGTAGACTTGTTTTCTACTGGGATGATCTTTCTAAAACTCCTTATCATCTATTAAGGTTACTCTAAGGGGTGAATAAATGTTGCAAAAGTTTTTGTAAGTAGTTATCTCTTATTTATGGCCTATTTTCAGTTATAGAAGCGTAAGATTTTAATATATGTAAATCTTTTTGTAGTTTTCCATATTGCTTCTACCCTGTTTCAAAAGCTCTAAATCTAAGATTACAGTAATATTCATCCAAGTTTTCTTCTAGTTCCTTCATCTCATTTTAAACATTTAAATTTTCAGTCCTCTTGGAATTTATTTTGATGTGGGGGATAAAGTATAAATCTAATTTTTTTTCCTTTTCCCATGTGACTATGCATTTGTCCAAGAATCATTTTTTAAAATAATGAACTCATTCCCCACTGATTCGAACTTCCATCAAATGCTTACATGTCCTCGAATCTATGTCTAGAGTTTCTATTCTGTCCATCTATTCTTTGGCCTTTTCCATCTCATTTTTATGAATTTGTCTTACAATACATTTTAATATTTGGAGGTATAAGAATTTATTCATTATTCTTTTCCCAAAAATTTTTAGCTCATTTTATCCATTTTTTCCCCCAAGTTCAACCTAGAATCATTTTGTTAAATTCCTTTCACCACCACCAAAATAAATTCTTTCAGAACTGTGACTTTAAAGTTTAATTCAATTTAGAAGTTAATTTGGAAAGAATTGCTGTCTCTACAGTGGAGAGTCATTTCATTCCATTCAGGGATGTGATGATTCTGTCCATTTTTTTTTCAAGTCTTTCTGTATGTCCCTCTGAACTGGCTTAAAAATTTTTTATTTTTTTAAGCATAGTGATGGGTATCTCTGTTTTCTGACATGGTCTCCGAATCTGTGAGCTGGTGCTCCCAGCCCCTAGCAGTAACAAAAGAAATTCCATTTCTTAGCTCTGGAGTATATTTTCAGTATCCACCTTCTCATAAATCTGCAAGAAAAAGATCTCACTTTTCATCCAAAGAATCTGGAGTTCAAAACAGCCTGTACGGAAAAAATCAAACTCCAGGGGCAACTGCAAAGCACATTTGGTGTCTAGCTGGCCAGCTTACTTTGCAGGACTCTTTTTCCAACTCCCAAATACTTTCCAGTCTGTGAAATTCATCTCCCCACCACTGTACCAGCAAGCGCCTGTCCCAGCCGTGGGGAGCTCGCACAGTTTCAGTAAGCAAGGATCTTTCTGAGGAGCTTTTTATTGTTAAAAGTGGTTTTTAGTAGATGGCATGGAACTTCCTTGAATGCCCCTGGCTTCCCAGATCGAAGGGGGATTTGGGAAGAGTTTAATGGGTCAGAGTTCAGCTTTCCCTTGAACACAGTCCTGATGCCGAATGCATTTTCGGAAGGAAACCAGGGCTCCTGCACCTCCCTGGTAGCCCACCAGTCAAATCTCCAAGAGCTCGAATTCGCCTACAGCAGGGTTTCTCCAGCCGAGAGGGAGGAGGGATATAAAACCGCAGGGGACTTTTGGCACTGTCTGGAGACATTTTTGGTTGTCACCAGGGAGAGACTGGTGGAAGGGTGGGCTATGGAGAGGGGTAGTACCGGCAATAGTGGGCAGAGGCCAGGGATGCTGCTGAACACCCTACAACGCACAGGGCACCCCCACAACAAAGAATTCCCCAGCCTGAAACTCAGGGGTGCCCAGTTCGAGAAATCCGCCTTACAGTTTCACTAACTGCCCAGCTAGACTTCATTATACTATTAGGAGCAAAGGTAAAGCATTATATAGGATCGCATTTTTAAAAAAGAGACGATTGGCTTTTAAAAGCCGCGCGCCTCTTACTTGAGACGTCCCTGAAAAGTTCTGCCTCTCGTAAGTAAGTAAGCTTTTCTCACCAAGGTTTCTAAAGCAAACGGAAAGGGTTCACAGAAACGTAGTAGGTCAACAGCATCCTCACACTGCCACCCTCAAACACACGCGCCTCGGTCACAGAAAGCAAGGCAGACAAGAAGCTGTCCCGCGAACGAACAGCGACGCCGGCCCTGCGGGCTCGGGCAGCGGAGAAGGATGGGGAGGCGCGCTCGGTCCACAAAGGCGCAGCGCTGGGGCCAACGCCACCTCCCGCGGCCTCTCTTGGTCCCTGGAGATGCGTGCCTGTCCCAAAGCGACCCTGCCAAGGAGCGCAGCCCAGGGAGAATGCATAATCAGTTTAGCCTAGGGTGGAACAACTCGGGGCACTTACTTGTCCAGAATGAAGTACAGGTCAAATCCCCCGTAGCAGGCTGGACCCCCTTCCTCCCTGCGTCCCCCTTGCCCGGCGCAGATGAGCACAAAAGTGGCCAAAGAGAGACACTTGAAGCCGATGCCCAGGGCTTTCTGCTCCACGGTGGCCATGACCTGCAGCCCAGGGAGAGGGTAGGGTCCTCTCCTTCCCACGCTCCTCGAACTCGCCAGGACCCTCAGGGGCGCGCCATCCGAGGGGCCCTCCTCTCCGGCCCTTTATTCCCCCTCGCTCTCCCGAAACTCCCCGGAAGCAATTGTCTGGGGGAGTTCACGGTTTTCCTTCTGGTTTCCGCTTCGATTCTGCGTCTAGGTTTCAGGTTTCAAGAATCCCAATACTGTACTCCGCTTTTTTAAAGGGGCTGCTCCTGACTCGGGCCAGCCGGCCGCTCCGGAGGCTGCGCTGAGATTTTTGCAATTGAAGCAGTTCCGTCCTGATGGTTCTTTGTCCCAGTTTTTAAATATTATGGGGTGGGTTTTCAAATTGTTCTTGGTTGGGGGAGCGCTTTGCCTTTACTCCCTCCTCTCTGTCCCCTTCCTTATTTTGTGGGGGAAGAAAGTTCAAAGGGTGCCACCTTGTGGCCAAGGACGGCGAAGGCACCCTTCGGCGTTCGCGGGGCAGTGGCTGTGCACGTTTCCTTATTCCATCCTTTTTCCCACGCACCTTCCCCTTCGTTTTCCATTACTTCTCCCCATTCCTAGTTCTCTCTCGCTAGCTAGCTTTATCATCCCTGTGCTTTCCTTTCCTGTCCTACGTCCGCTGATTAGGCCACTGTAAACATTTGACGAGAACTTACTCCAAGCACTGTGGCTCCGACCCCAGGCTGGGACCTTTGCAAACAAGCCATTATGCAAATACGCGGAGAAGAACGGGCACTTTGTGATCTGAATCATTCAAGTGACCTTACTGTACTCAGCGCAGATCATAAAAGAGACTGTTGGGGTGCGGTCATTGGCTGAAAACCATAAATAGCCCCACAGGGAAAGCTGTTCCTTGCCATGGAATAGCTGAGCCTTCTAGATTGTCTCCATCTCCAGATTTTAGATTCTGTGATAAGTTCTTTTCAGCCTATGAACTTTGACTTTTTCCCCTCCAATCTTTGATTTTAGGACAGAGGCAGTAAACAGCTTACAAGAGGGTGAAACTTCCAAACAGTTTGGGACTGGCAGGGGAGTCCTGAGCTAGCCTTTCTAAAGTGAGGAATTCTCTTTAGAGCCGGCTCAGCGCCTCAGTTTCAGCTGGAACTCAGTTTTAGCTTCTTATGTCTTCCACTCTGGGAGTCCTCCATCCACACTCATACTCCGTTTTCTGGGATTATTTCTCCAGGCACGCATCTTTCCTTCCACTTGAGTTTCTGAATTTTGGATCCATAATGCATTGCGCTAGCTGCCTCCAACATGATTTGTAATATTTCTCATTCCCTGGTATTTACACCTCCTCTCCTGCACTGAATGAGACTTGCAGATGTGTAATTAACAAGATACTGCAGAAATGACAGTGTATGACTTCTGAGGCTAGGTCATAAAAGATATTGTGGTTTCCTTCTTGCTTTCCTGAATCACTTGCTCTGGGGAGCCCAGTGCCGTGTCATGAGGTCTCAGTGCTTTGGAGGAGTCTAGGTTGTAAGAAACTGAGATCCCCTACTGACAGCCAGCATCAATTTGCCAACCATGTGAGTGACCCGTCTTGGAGGCAGATCTTCCAGCTTCAGTCAGACCTTCAGATGACCACAGCCCTGGTTGATATTTGACTGTAACCTTATAAGAGACCCCAAGCCAGAACTACTCAACCAAGCCAATCTCAGAGTCCTGACCCACAGAAATTAGGAGAGAATGAATGTATATTTGTGTTTTAAGCCTCTAATTTTAAGGGCAATTTGGTATGCAATAATAGACAACTAATAAACGCCTATTACCATGTTAAAATTTTGAGACTATCATTAGGGAAAAAATCATCTAACTGTATTTCCCAGGCTTATTTGACCATGACTTTCTTCAAACAATTTTTTTTCTTTTAAAAAATTCATTAAAAAATACCTCTTGACATCCATACTTTGGGAATAACTGCTCTCAGAAAAAAAATGGGGAGAGATTAAAATACTCTAACTTGTCCAAGTCTTCTTTTTTCATACCTTCTCCCTCCCCAAAGGATTAAAAACCCACTGCGGTCCCATTGCAGCTCTATGATGAAAAAAAGGTGGGGAGGATCTGTAGAAATTAAGTGGGAAGATGAAAGCAAGAAAACCAGAGGAAACTGACCAGGAAAGGAAAGGAATATGAGACAGAAAAACACAATGGGGAGAATATTTGTGGATGACAGGATCGGCAAAAATAGGAATGGGCTTGAATTGGAAAGGGATTTGGAGGAAAGGTGGAGTCAGAAAAGAATAAGAATGTCTTCTTGCATCCTCATTCTCTAGGGACCTCTTAGGTTCTTTAGAGTTTGGGTAACAGAAGAATGTCTTGAGAGCTTTACAGTTTAGCAGGCTAGTCTGGAAGGGAATCAGAAGTGTCTTGATAGAGCTCTTCAAAGTTAGAGACACTATTATTAAAAATAGGTGAGGGCACAGCAACCAGAGGGGAAGGAAATTCAGTGTGAAACAAAGTAATGGGAAAGGGGAGAGAGTGGAAGAGTCTCCCCTGGGACACAGATGATGATGGAGGGATTCAGATGCTTGACTGCTTCAGGTGCCTCTGCCTTTCCTTCAGTATTCTTGATAGAGATCTGTTAATACATATTGACCATCTCTAGATCTTAAACTGTCTCTATCCTTCTCTCTCTGGCCCAGAGAATTTCATTCCAGGTGCTTCTTCCAATTAGAGGATTTCGTGCCAGACTTACTCATTATGGGGAGGTGTCCCCCAGATATGCCCAGGAAGTGAACTTGATATTGACCTATGGAAATATTGTTATTCTCAGGGAATAATGAAGTAGCCCAGAGATGTCCAGAGTCTGTAACAGTAAATGAAACCCTCGTGTGATACCAATATGGTGGCTCAGCAGGTCTGCAAGGGGAGACATTTTCAGTTCTTCAGATTGGCAGCATTTTCCCTTGGCTGTGAGGATGTAACAGTTACTGCGTGTAGGGAAATGGGAGAAATGGATCAGTCACTTGAGGTTGAAGGAGAACTTGGGAAGAGTATCTGACGCATTCCTGCTAGCATTTCCCAGGTTAATTTCATGGCTCAGAAATATTCAAATATCAAGATCCCTTTATGGAAGTTGAATGCTCTAATTGGACTGAAGATGTCCAGGGTCCTAATCTCTTCCAAGGATTCCTGTGTTCTGGAGGAGATTTGTTGGCCTTCCCAAGGTCCACAGAGATAGCCATATGGGGTTTGGAAGGAACTCCTCTGCCTCTCAACCTCAAGCCAATGGAAGAATGAGATAAAGAGGATGCCTGGGCTATGCGTAGATATTTCTGAGGTTGAAGAAGCACAAGGACAAATTAACCACACGCATGGAAATGTCTGAGTGATAACCTGGAAGTCAAGGTAGGGATGAGCTTCCAGGAGGAAGAAGCAGTCAACATTGCTGCATCCCGCGAAAGTCAAGAGCATGAGACCTAAGAAAACCCCACTGATTTGACACATGTCACTGCATCACCAAGGAGCCTTCCAGTGGAGTTGTGCAGGGGCACGTTAGACTGCACTGGGTTGGTAGGAAGGGAACTTTTCTATTTCAGGAAAAGCAGGATAGAAGGCTAACTTGTGAATTTTTCCATGTTTTATGCCACGAAAGAGGACCCCAAGATATTCAAGAATACCACGAATTTAAGGTTCTGTGCTTTCCAGAACACCGGAGAGTTTGTCTTACTAGACTGACCATTTTAAGACTCTAGTCCTGAACCATAATCACCATTCTATCTGAATTTTCCAGGCTTCCTTCTCTGAGATAGATGTTCTTAAACATGACCTGCCTGTCTACCAGTCTCCAGTGACCCATTCCCCTTTATTTGTCCCCTGCTCTCCAACACATATGACTGAGGCCCTTTTGTCAAGCTCTCAGACACAAAGTTTGCTGTCCTGATAACATTGCCGTTCAATCTTCCAAGAATCTCACTGGGCACTAAAATACCATTTGTCTAGGATGTTGGCAAAAGTTTTGAAAACTGCTCCAGATAACAGAAACTACCCAAGAAAACTTGGGAAACTTTTTCCTTGGAAATATTTGTCCACAATATAGACAGATCTGGCACTGTCCACCAAATTTTGTGCTAATCAAATAGGTCCAATGTTTGCCAAGGTCTTGGAGGTCCCACTGGTTCTTGGGCATTGGGACACCCAACAGCTTTCTAACGCAAAACATCATTTAGTAAAAATAGTATCTTTTTCATTGTTATGAGATTTCCTTCATGTTTGTCCTCCAGAGGACCGCCATTTGCAAAAAGCCAAGAGAGCATTCCCAGAAGCAATTTTTAATTCAGAATAACAACATTTGTAAAGAATCTGAGTCAGCTGAGTGATGGCTTTGGTCATAGGAAAAGAAATTGTATCAGTAATAACTTTAAACCCAGAGGCAGAACCGTAGTCTATAGCAAGATACTTTGGTGGCATCCTGTAGACAGGTCGTCCACAAACTCAGCCTAGAAACAATCAAAGCCTCATTAAACTCAGCATCTCGTTAATAACCTTACCCAAAACCCAACCCAGTCTAGCTTGAAAATCAATTCAGTTCAGTACATCCCTTGACTCAATTTAGGGCAATCCCAAACCAATCCCAAAGTCCTGTTCACAGCCACCCAGATGCAGAGATAGAGCTCATTCAACACAGTCCCAACCCGACTCTGATCAATCCAGAGCCATGAAAAAAATGAGCCAATTTCATATGTCAGTCAATGTCAGCCCAGAGACAGATCCTGTTAAAATATGGTTCACAGCCCAGCTTAGCTAAGTCCACAGACCACCCAAGTCCATCCTAAACCACACTCAAGCCCAGCCTGACATTTAATCACCAATCTCCTTTAGCCTAATTTAGCTAGAGTCTAGCTAAAGCTCAAAGCGTAGCACAGCAAGCCTTATGAAGACAATTCCTACAAGGACTCAGCCAAGAGAATAATCCGTAATTCGTACAAATATATCCTTAAAAAATCCATCTCAGATCCTCACAAGATTCAAAACCTTGCAAACAAAATGTTTATTTCATTTAGAGCAGAGACTACGGTAATCCAACACAGAACCCAGAAGAGGGATGAACTAGACCAGTACCTACAGTCCGGGGTACTGACAAGACCAGAGTTTACAAATGCCCAATGGAAGATTATATCAGATAACTCAAGACCAGCACAAAGCTAAGTATAAAACCAATTCAGCCCTTTACATCCCAGTTCTGCTCAACCCTGGCATATTTAAGTCCAAAGTCTTACTCAGAGACCCCAGACAAGTTTATAACTTAAGATGCCACAAGAAATCTACCTAGACCTGTCAAGTCCATAACTACAACACTTCTGTTCTTCCTAATGG